GCATATACAGATAAGAAATTGAGGTGTCAGCATCAAATTAGATGAATGATGATCATAGCTTACAGAGTAAATAGACTTCTTATTAGACTGGTTGGTGAGTTTTGATATGTTTTTCTGAGTTGACCAAAGGCAACGAGTTAAACTCAATTTTTGGGGTTCAAACGAGTTAAACTCATTTTAACACCAGGCTGAGGGGGTGTTTGGATTCCCTTATGAGTGCTTTTTAAAAGTATTTTTTCACAAATCGAGAAAAACTCCTCCATATATTTATTTCATATACTGTAAAAACACTTCTAAAACCATGTTTGGTTTTCATCTAAACACCCTCTGAGGCTGAGTCTTCAAAACAAGGTGTCGGAGATCATGAGTTTGGGCCCTGATCCAATGTCCTTTATATGTTTTGGCTGCCACTCAGAATAGTAACAATAAACTCACCGTTGTGCCAAAAAAAAAACAATAAACTCACCAACAAGTTGAGCCTAACATGAATGACTAGTCTTTTCATAACTTAACAGACTTATATTTAAATTTCTACTGAGAGAGGTACTCATATTTAGTACTTGACAATATTTCGAATAAAATTATCTGTAATAAGAAGATACTTATATTTTAAGCAAAAAAAAAATTTAAGTTAGTATAAAGAACTAATTCTCTACAGGGAACATAGTCATCCACCTAAACTTTTTTGTGGGAAAAATAAAAAGAATAACAGCATGCTCAAATATAGAAGAACAAGTGAAACATATAATGATTTTTTGGATAATTAAGATAGGTAACTTATGAATTTTATTAGTTTTCATCAATACAAGTTCAAATTAAGAGATGAAAGTTCATATAACTATCTTATATTTAGATTTGAACATTGCCAGCCTAATTTAAGAGTAGCTTTCTTGACATCATTCTATGTCAATCTAAGCCGATTTCTTTTTTGTTTTGTTTTTTTAACTTGGGTTATTAATCCGCAAGTCCTTCTAGTTTCAACGAATTTGAATCGGGTCCTTATAATTTTTTTTCTTTTATCAGGTCCTTATATTTTTACCTTTTTTTAATTAGGTCCTTGGTTTATTTTTCTTTTAATTAAGTCCTTGTAATTTCACTAAATTTTTAATCAAGTCCTGTAGTTTTAATTTTTATTTATTAATTAAATATAAGCTTAATTAAATAGATTAATACTGAGATATAAAATATTAATAATTAAATTAAATTAATAATTATGTAATAAAAAAGTAATAGAATTAATTAATTCATGAAATTTTTTTAGAACAATTACTTTTTTTTGCTGAAAAAATTAAATCATTATAATAATTCAATATCTTTAGAATATTATTGTTTATAAACTAATATTAAATAATATATACTATTTTTATGTTTATATAATAGTACTTTTAGAATTTATAAAATAAAGAATAAAAATTTAGGGATTTAATTAAAAATAAGATGAACTTATAAAGACTTGATAAAAAGAAAAAAAATAAATAAATGACCTAATTAAAAAACAGGTGAAAGTATAAGGACCTGATAAAAAGAAAAAAAACTATAAAGATCTGATTCAAATTAGTTGGAAACTATAAAGACCTGTGGATTAATTATCCCTTTTAACTTAAAAGAATTGTCCCCTCTGCCAAACATCGACAAAAGATTCTCCTCCCCAGAAGCCTCTTCATATTCAGCGCCATCCTTTACTTTTCTCGGCTTCCAAACAATCCCTTCGATTTCTATTCCTCCTCCGCCTTCGACTGACATGTCCACCCAAATCATCGAGCACGTCGTCCTGTTCAGGTCAAAGACGAGACCGAGCCTTCCAATGTCACCGCCATGGTCGACAGTGAATCAACTCCCTCGTCTCCCTCCCCAGGTTCTTCACATCGCCATGGGGCCGCTTCATCGACTCCGATCCTCTCTCTCACTTTCACTCACATGCTTCATGCCCGGTACAACTCCAGAGCCGACCTAGACGCCTACACCACCCATCCCGCCCACGTGTCAGTCGTCAAGGCCAACGCCCCTTTCTGCGACGACACCATGGCTCTCGATTGGGGTCGCCCACGACCTCCGGGGAGATCTGGTTCTTTCCACCGGGCTCGGCGGTGCGAGTCAGGTTCTTGAAGCTGAAGGAAAACTCGAGCGATGAGGTCAGGAACGAGATCTTGGGGTTCTGAGAGAATTGAGGATAAATTCAGTGAAATCAGTCAGTTCAGCTGTGGGAAAATTTCTCGCCGGGAAGAGCAAAAGGATTCTCGATCGGTTGGGTGGCAGTATTTGGAGGAATAAGGGAATTGGAGGCGGTGGATTCGAATGAGGAATGGGGAAAGTATGAGAAGGATAAGATTGGAGAGTATGTGGAGAGGGAGATGGTGATGGATCAGGTCGTGGCATCACGAGAGGCGTAATCTGGAAACATCGGTCGAGGTAATGCATTGCTATAATATTATATCATAAACTAAATTAAGAAGCGCGCATGGCTTGTTATGAATGTAAATTGAATCTGCAGCTTCCGTTTACTATGATGGTGTAAAAAGCCGAGTGTTCAGACCAAATTCAAACATTTGATATCCAGTACAGACTTTATTTCTTGTTTTTCTCTTTCGAAAATTATTTAGGATTTTTTTTATGCATTGAACTTCACAGATTTTTCATATGCATGGCTTAGATTTTTTTTTTTTTTGGTGCTGAGCATAATTTAGATCTTTGAATATTATCAGACACTAACATGAACATCACTCTTAACAAAAGTCAAAGCTAGGTTGAGCTGGGACAATCTAGATGGGCTATTAGACCTTGCGAGGCTCAGCACTAGTTGGATATCCAGCCCACACATTGTTTTAATCAAAATTTAGTTTTTGATGAACATTTATTCATTTTAAATACTCTTTCTCTCCTTAATATGAGACCTAATTATTGAGTTGGTTTTGGTCTTAAATATAAGACTCATTTCTCATATTTATTAATTTTCTCTAGATTACTCCTATGAATACTCCCTTAAATATAATCAAGTAGAAGAGGAAGATGGAGTATTAAAAAAAATGATTATGATATTTTAGGGAAAACGTGTCATATTTCTTATAATTAACTAACTTATTTAACTTCCTTAATCTAATCAAATTAGTTAAATGGGTCTTATATTAAGAATCGAAAGAGTATGGTATTTTCCTTAATACTAAATTTCACGAGATACCAATTTCAGTCTGTAAGATTTATTTAATACTTAGAATTTGTTTCTTATTTCACCAAGAAAGTGATTTAGGTGAAAATAATACTCCTCCGGTCCTTATTATAAGACCCAATTTGACTTTTTATTTGGTCCTAATTATAAGACCCAATCCATTTTGTCTCTTATATTTATGCATTTTTTTCCAAGATAATCATTCTAATAATGATAGTTTTAGCCAATATACTTAATTAGCAAGGATATTTTAGGAATAACAACACTTATTTATTATAAATAACCAACTTAACTTACTTCCTTAATCTCCTCAAATAAGTCAATTGGGTCTTATAATTAGGACCGGAGGAGTATATAATTGCAGTATATTATATTTGTAATGAATGGAAATGTACTCGTGTAAAAATGATGTCCTGGCCGAAAAAAAACGAGGTTCTTTCCAGAGCAACAGGCCTTGCTCGCTAGTCGCTACTTGCGGACGCACACAAAGCCACAGTTGCAGCTTGAAATGTAACTAAATTTTTGTGCATGACGAGTTGATTTATCAGGGACAATTTTATCTGAGAAATTGTCAGGTATTAAACATAGGCTCCTCTTCGAAACTTTCATTTGCACGATGTGACAGAAGTAATTTGGTGCAGCTGTAATGCATTCATTCCCAAACAAAAAAATGGAATGGATTGGGCCTGGTCTCCAGCTGGCCCATTATCGATTGCGAACGACCCGATTGTTGTTGACAGTAAAAAATGAAAATGAATTTGTGTATTTTTTTAATTTCCACGCACCATACAAAACGCAAACATCGGGTTCGGATCCTCTCAGCGTCTTTTTTCTCAGCATCCCTCAGAAGCCTAAAATCTTGACCGTCCAAATGATCTAAAGGCCCATTGTGTATCATCCATTCATCCTCAACCTATGACTTCTCTCTCCTCTTCCTACTCCCTCTCCCTCCCAACTAGCTGTTGTGGCCTGCCCTTCACGCTTCCCGCCTACCACTGCAATCGCCTCCTTGGCTCCTTCCACTACCATGCTTTCCATATCAAATATTTTTTTTAAAAGAAAAATTAATATTAATGATTAAAGATTCATCAAAATCAAAATATCTGCAGTTTGATTGTGGTTGGGACCTAGGAGGCTAGGACCTGTAACTTCCCTCTTCCAACTCGATTATGAGAATGACGTGAAAGATGAAGAATGGGATAGACAGAATAGCTTCATGCATTTTTGGATTCATGGTTATTAAGCAACTCAAGCGTAAATTACAAATTTTAAACAAAACATCACTCAACTCTCTCCCTTGGCCATTTAAAATGAAGATGTTAGAGGCAGATAAATGCTCATATTTATGACTGGCACCAGAACAAAATGTGGCAATCAACGAGGTATTGGTGCAGAGCTCACTATCCACCCAGTGAGTGAAGGTTTCACAACACCACCAGAGGGTCGGAACCCAACATTATGTCTTGAAATTTATGGTCCATTTAACACAAGGTCGAACACCAGCACCCATTTTGGCATATTGAACCTGAAATAGTCTACCTTCTTGCCTGACAGACTCGCGTCGCCTTCACACTCTCAAAACAGATCTCACACTTTGGCTACCTCCGTCTTGGTCTTAACTTTCTTTCTTCGTTTTGCTTGCCCTCTTGCCCAAAAAATGGTTGTTAACCAGTAGTGGTCCAATACCAGTTCTTGGGAGTCGAAAGAGGAGAGAGAAGCAAAAGGTTGAAGATGGTTGACTATGAGCCTTTGGATTATTTGGACGGCAAGGATTTCAGGATTCTGAGGGATTCTGAGAAATAAGACGCTGAGAGGATCTGCTTCCCGCAAACATCACTGTCATGTCGAGGGGTCAGTGAGTTTGGAGTCCCTCGTTGAAGAGTGAAGACAGTAGGCGTCGGAGTGAAGGGCAAACTCAATCGTCCTTGTGCTTTACCATGCTCTGCCTCAAAACCCGGCCGTTATCCTCTCCGTTTTCTCTCACTTTCTCGTCTTCCAAACGCCTCCGTCCTCGTCTTCCTTCTCCTCCTTCCTTCAAACCCTACTCTCATTCCATCAACATGTCCTCCACCCAAACCATTGAGCATATCGTCTTGTTCAAGGTCAAGGACGATACTGACCCCTCAAAGGTCAACACCATGGTCAGTGGACTCAGCTCTCTCGTTTCACTCGACCAGGTCCGCCACCTCACCGTGGGTCCGCTGCTGCGCAACCGATCCTCCGCCCTTACTTTCACTCACATGCTCCATAGTCGCTACGACTCCAAAGATGACCTCAGCGCCTATTCGGCCCATCCCAGCCATCTCAGCGTCGTCAGAGGATCTGTGCTTCCCATCTGCGATGACATCATGGCCGTCGATTGGGTCGCCCACAACCTTGAGGGCGATCTCGTTCCGCCTCCAGGCTCCGCAATTAGAGTGAGCTTCTTGAAGCTGAAGGAAAATTTGGGCGATGAGGTTAAGAACGGGGTTTTGGGGGTTATTGGTGGAATTAAAGAGAAGTTCGGACAAATTAGGCAGCTCAGCTACGGGGAAAATTTCTCGCCTGCGAGGGCTAAAGGGTTCTCGATTGCGTCGCTTGCAGTTTTTCCCGGACAGGCCGACTTGGATGCTGCGGCTTCAAATGAGGACTTGGTGAACCAGCAAAAGGATAAGGTTAGGGAGCATCTGGACAGTGTGGTGGTCGTTGATTATCTGGTTCCATCACCACAACCTCGGCCTGCGAGCCTTTGATGAGGTTATTTTCTGTAATGCCATTTTACCTGTTCTATGTCTGACGTTTTTCGCTAATTGAATTGAATAAGTCGTCATTGTTCAATTACTAGGCTGTGTAGAAATTGAAAGTACGGCTTTCAAGAGTTGGCTTTCCTTGGAAATTTCTTCTTTTCTGCTTCCCTTTTCTCAATTGTGTGCATACCCTCGCCAATAAACTCATTCATCTTTTCGTGCGCGAAGTGCGTCTCTTCCATCAGGTAACCTGATTGGAGTAAACCAGAAAAAATGGGGAGGGCGAGGAGGGAACAATTTTGGGTCCAAATAATTAGCTACGACAATATAACTTTGCAGATAATTGATGATATTGTGATGGTTGTTGTGCTGCGTCCTACTTGTTCTGTTGTTTTTGGGTGAAGGGACTAACCTCGTGAGGCATCGAAAATGTTTCATTCCCCCCCCCCCTTCCGATGGTGTTATTAGCTTAGGAACAATGTTCACAGGTCATGCAATTGGCTTAGTCCATTTCATCTCTGTCAATGTTTTGTACTTCAGTGCTATATGCCCCCCCCCCAAAAAAATACAACCATGGGATGGGGGACGACCTATTTTTTAAGTAATTATTTCCTTAATTTTAAAACGGGAACATGCACAATATTTCAGTTTAGCTGTAGCATTTTATCTTGGTAGTGGAGGTATCGAGCTTATTTGGAGGAAAAAAGTATAAGCAATCCATCAATTATGGGAAATCATATTGGTAAGGTTAGTTGCTCCACCATTCCCAATCGCTATTTTTTCTGCATACTGTTTCATTAATTTTGACTGTGATGGAGGTCTTTTTTTATTTACTCTGCCTTGCTTATCTGCAGCCTGCACCTCCGTCCAGTTTGTTTTGCACCACATAATAACATGTATATTTGAATATACATGTTCTTATGTATGAAAGTTGGGGTCAGGGCTCTGGCCCTTGAGTTTTCATCTTAAATAGGCTTGGGGCTGAATCTCAATAAAACGAAACTGGGGTCTGGTTTCATCATCATAATATCGCTCACAAACCTGCCCATCTCAGTCTCACGACTTCATTATATGAATATATGCTAAAACCCTCATAGTTGCTAGCCGTATCCAACTCCTACGTTTCTCTGCTATCCAAACTCCATAAACCTTGGTGTCTTAACTTGGCACCTCAAATTATGACAGCTGATAAGTCTAATGTTTGAACTTGATGATGCTGATCTGGTTTGCTGACATGTATTGTGTTTGCAAAAACTTATGCTTTATTGCTATGTCAACTAGAGCATCTCGTGAATATCTGATTACTGATAATCTGATGCTAGTCATGATGGAAAATCTTGTTCTTAGCCGTGCAAGACAGCTTTTAAGTTTGATTTTGAATGATATTTTTCTTCAGAGAACTGTGATCACTTGTCCAGCGCCCCTGAATCCCTGATGATATGTTTTGAGATGAATGCTGGAATTTGAAGCCAGATTCACTATAGAAGGTGTACTCTGTTAATTCCATACGTCTGTGCTGGAACCGTCCTTGCTTGAACCATTAAGATGGCTAGTTAGGTTGACTCCTTGAATTGGAATGTTGGTTCATAGGAAATTTTACCCTTTCATTGGGAGCAACGAAGCCTTACTGAGGGAGAGTCCAAGTATGGCAAAACATAGAAAAGAAAGAACAGAAAGGAGGTCAAGGAAAAACCTAATATGGAAAATGTACTTAGCCAAATGAGGATGTCAAGGGAAAATGGGATGCATGTTGCAGACATATGTAGCAAGAGCTACAGCATGTCCTAATCAACAACGAAAACAATAAGTCTTATTCCCCTGGGTATAGTCCACAACATGAATCCTATGACGTCGTTGAGCTTTGTCAACAATCAAATTTTTGGACAGATTGTAAATGGAAAGATCTCATGCAGCATATCGTAACCAAATTACTAAAATTACACTATAGATTATTAGAATTACAAACATGTTAGTAATGCATGGCATTCTTAAGGACTAGTCGAAAATATTAGCTTGTAAATTATCCTCAACATAATGATCTTGAAAAGTATCTTTTGTTTAATGAAGCCACGATCAACTTCTGTATTTGAGCCTATCGTCAAAATCAGATTCGAGACAAAATCTAGTGTTGCTTGATTGTCATGGAGTAATGTTGTATATGCGCCTGCTTCTCTGCGAGATCTTCCAAGATTTGTATCTATGTAATGGAAATAATTGTATGATTCCACAAACTCCTTTTGATAAAAGCTCTCCCTCCTTTCTATTTCCTTGGGTGGGCTCCTTTCCATTTGTATCAAAAGAAAAAATTATTATTAGTGATAGTCCTTATAGTCGTGTCTTCTCCTTCAGATTGAATTTTCTTCAAATAACTTGCTTCCTCCGGTTCTATTTTTTTTAATTAATTTTTTTAATATTCATAAATTAATTATCTAATTCTTATATTCAAAGCGAGATGTAATATATTATATGAAAATTTTGAATATTTTCTTTGAAATATTTTCATTTGTCTTGTCTCGGGACAAATTCACGACTGATTGAATATCATTTTCCAAACGAGCCTGAAAAGCTTTTGAACATAGACTAAGAGGGTGTTTGGATGGAAACCAAATTATGGTTTCAAAAGTGTTTTTACGGTTTACGAAGTAAATATAAAGAGGAGTTTATCTCGTTCTGCGTTAAATATGAGAAGGAGTTTGTTTCGTTATGTGTTAAAAGCACTTTTTAATGTTGCCAAACACCTTCTAACTCTTACCTATCGCAAGAGTTTGTTTATGTATCTGTTTTATCAATATATTGATAATAATCATTGTTTTGTAAAATTTAGTGATATTTTATTTAGAAGCTAACATACTACCTCTGTTTTTTTTAATATAAGAGTTTATTTGATTTTTATTTTGGTTCTAAATATAAGACTTCTAATTTATTTTATTTATCATATTTATCTATTTTTTTCAAAGTAGTCTTTGTAATAATGGTAGTTCTAGCCAATACACTTGATTAGCAAGAATATTTTAGAAAAAGCAACACCTATTTATTATAAATTTTTAACTAATTTTTTTAATCTATTCAAATTAGCCAATTAGTTTTTATATTAAAAAGTGGAGGCAGTAATAATTATTAATGATCCCCAGTCCCGCCTGTCACATATGTTTTCCCAGTTTTATCCATGTTTCCCCAGTTTTACTCCATTAATAAATATAAATTATTGGATATGTATGTATGTATGTATGCATGTATACGTATAGGAAAGTTGCCAGCTGAAAAAGGAGCCCAAAGGTCGTACTCAATACTTGGGATTCAAGGGACACTTATTTTGATGGCCCAAAAGAAGGGACTATTATTTTATAATGCTCGAATAAAAATGAAAAAAAAAATCTCTACCCAAAAAGAAAATAATAATATATAATTATATACATGGCTCAAATTTCTTTTCTTCCTTTTATTTTAATATCAAAATAATCAAATAAAACCTAAACTCAACAAATATATGTACTATGAAATTTCCTCCCACTTAAAATATCAGATATTTTTAATATATTTAAATTGTATGTTATTACTGTATAGTTTTACATGTAATTAATATAAATAATAAATATATAATTGTAATCTAAACTTCTATTAACTACCTGAGTATTATGCATTATAAAGTTAACAAATTTATTTTGATAATGTATATAATATTACAATAATATGGATTTAGTATGTGTTCCTTTTAAAAATTACTCCCTCCGGTACTATATATACGCTTTAAATTTAGAAAGGGACGTGGTCCATTTTATAAGTTTTAATTTAAGTTTTTCTTAATATTTAATGTATTTTTATCAAACTTTACCCTTAATTATTTTGCCATACTGTCTCTTATCACATTTTATTTTTCTCATTTATTATAAGGACATATTGGAAAACACAAGTATATTTCTAACCTATTTATTATTTTAAACTAATTTTAACTAATTATTTGTTACTTATAAATTAGTTATTTAAAGTTTATAACATGGACAGGAGGAATCTAAAACTCATGAGTTTGGCAACTTTAAGGGAGTACACTAGAAACCGTAGTGTTAAAACTTGAAGGTCAAATGGTGACCACACCATTCAAGATATATTAAAAAAATTGCCATTTGCTGATGATTAGGTACTAATGATAATAGGAACGATAATTTTTTTCCCAGGCACATATATCCTTCTAATTATTGAGGTATCGCCTTTTGTCTTTCCTAATCTGCACTGCGTTTTCCAATATATTTTTATAACTCAATTCGTATAATTTATTAGATATTCAAATCCACACCATTAAACCTTGACCAAAAGAATTTCTCCATTTATCAAAAACCAGGATTAAGATTCCCAAGGGTACGTTTGATATGAAAGAAATGAAGGAAGGAAAATTTTTTAATGAGTTTGGTTTAAAAAATTGATGAAGTGAAGTTAAAAGCTTTTAATTAATTTTTATTATTCTTTTGTTTTATTTTTTTATTTATTAAAATTTTATACTTCCATTTTTTTAAAAAAAATTTTTAAACTGAGCTCATGCACAAAAACCTAAGGTTAGAGTTTTCTTTGTCCTCGGCTTATCTCGGTACATTTTGGGCTACCCAAAGCCATCCACCACACCGAACCCCCCCCCCCCAAAAAAATATCCAAAATCCCAGCCCATACATTGAGCATGGCAAACAAGCCGCCAAAACATATGTACATATTTGTGTGTCGAAGTGAAAACCGTGTTCTGATATGCGTGTTTGTGTTTTGAAATACCACATTCGGTCCTATTTATAAGATCTTATTTGTAAATTATAAATAAGGTCATTTAAATAGGATCAGAGGTAGTAGTATACTAATCACAACAGAGTTTGCCATGTTTATTCAAGTGCGTACTCGGAATAAAAGTTCTGATGATCGTGTAATATAAGTACGCATTACACAATGAATCCCAGAAGCAATCGATGCCCAAGGTCCGTGTCCAGAGAATCTCAGGGTACAGTGCCGCGACAACATTATAATCATCAAAATACATAGGATACATTGGAAACATCTGCTCAGGCCTACACATGTGCCTCATTAATAATAATGTCATTTAATTACATTAAGTGGTTAAGAGATGATGATACCATATATATACACACACATTAAGTGGCTATGATAAAAGCGATCTCAGCAAGAGATCGAGTCCAACAAAAGAATCACGTTCATCATCACAACAGCAAAACCTCATCCGATCCAACAAGAACCAAAGGTAGTCCAACCACATTATTGTCAGACGCTTAAATGATTGACAGGAGGACAAGGCCCACAAATCTATCTCTTCATTATTAGTATTATTAAGTTCTTACATGAATTGAATCCTGCAGATTGTTCTCAGTTCACCCCGTGATTAGTCCAAAAGCAGCAAAGATCCACCAAGAAAATTATCGTACCCGAACCTACATGGTAACTCACCAAAAGACATAAACATATGCTAATGCCCACGCCTCCAATATATCATTCTTGGTTTAGGGCTAATTTTTGCTCTATATAAGTACTGGTGAAGAAGAAGTAAGATTTTTAGTTTTTTTTTCTTTTTAAAAACCTTGTCCTATAATTAGCACAGTACGTTACGTTAAAGAGCGCATTTTTCATGAACAGAAAGCCAAGTCTGAACTCTGAATATTAAATGTAAGGTTAATATACGATTTGGTTGCTTTGTTTAATTTTCGTATAATAAGATGCATGCAGCGGCAGAATAATAAGATTGCTTCTGCATGGAGCACAGGTGAAGATGACAAGAAAAATAAGGGTTTCTGTGGTTTCCTCGAAGGTTTTGACGAGATGGGCATCGACGACTTGCTCAGTTGCTCGTGCCGGAGGGGGCACAAGTTCCGTGCACAATTTTCGAGAAGCTTCTGGCGAATGTGGGAATTCTTTCAGCCAGAATATGATGACGTGGATTTCTCTTTTCCTTAATACTATCTCCGGTCCTAATTATAAGAGCCAGTTGACTAATTTGAGGAGATTAAGGAAGTAAGTTGAGTTTGTTATTTGTCCTAAATAGGTATTGTCTTTCCTAAAATATCCTTACTAATCAAGTGTGTTGACTAGAACTCTTATTATTAGAAGGGCTATTTTGGAAAAAAAATGTATACATATGAGAAACAAAGTGGATTGGGGTCTTATATTTAGAACCAAAATAAAAGTTAAACAAGATCTTATATTAAGGATCGGAGTTACTATTAGGTGAGTGACTATTCATGCAGTGAGATCGATGATATCGATGCAATAATATAATATACTGAAAAGCTCTGTGTGTGTCAGTGTCTTGTGAAAGTACTCGTCCCGTGATCAAATTGGGGAATTAATCTTAATTTTTTTATAAAATTTATTTAACATATTTATTAATTTTTTA